ATCTTTTTATAATAGTGTTGACAAAAGTCAAACTTTTTGATCAAACTAATGGCGTTCTTAAGTACAATAAGGGAGTTGAATACGCGTAAGAGCAAGACAATTTTAATCGAAAACCGTTTAAATTCTTATTTACGTTTTTATAATTTTTTTTAGATATATTGCACTTACCTTATTAACAGCTGGTATATTTGGGTTTATAAATTCTTCAAATTTTTTTTGCATCAAAACTTAAAAATTTTTAATTGCCTAGCAATTAATCTATTTTCGGTATTTTGTTATTATTATTGTGAGGCGAAAAACTCTAGGTACGTATTTTGCCTGAATCTAAAATTTTCTATTGCTACATATACTAATACTCAATTTTGAAACACACCTAGGGCTATTTTTATGTTCTTATTATTTGCATGGTTTATTCTACCAAGTGAGTTCACATATAAAGTAAATTTGCAATCTCATTGACGAAACTAATCTTTAATTTGTGAAAGTAATTTATACAATCAGCACTATACACGAAATTGACCCTATCCCATTTATTTGCCTACCACGTTACCCATACGAATCTTGAATAATTGAAACAGCATGTAAAATTCGAGCTGCAAATTTTATTTGCATGTGGATGTATTTAGCTTTAACGTTAATAAGTGTCATTATTGGTATTAGTTTCGGATTTTACAATAGTACAAGAAAGAACAGTGATCATAAAAAAAACATCAGTTATCCAAAATTGAAAAGCTCTACTAATATAAACATAGAATAATTATAAATTTGATTTCGAATTGAAGCTCGCAGTAACGTGTAATCTCATACGTACATATTGTTTATTTAATGTTGTGATGCTGATCTGTATTATGGCAGATTTTTGTAACTCTTTGTTGAGCGGTACTGTAATTCAGTTTTTAACTATTATGCCTATTCTTAATATACACCCTGTACGTAGATTGAACTGTAATTGGCAGTTTACATGAACAAGTTAAATATATTATTATTTTTATCGTTAATAACTGAAAGTATTGTGACATTCAAATAGGGATTGATTCCGATAAAAAAAATAAAAGATTTTATAATCATTCAGTCACGTCAAAATTCATATAATTTGGACACTTTACAAATAAATAAGATTTATTTACAAGTTTATGAATATATTATTGGACTATTTATACTGCACAATGCTTTAGATAATTGATTGAAAGAGTACTGAAAGACTTTTAAGTAAATTTTGTTTTCTTGTTTTATATTTGCATTTTAAGTTTTTGGATTTGAATTGCATTCTTAGCCTTTCAGACTGTAACTTATATCGTGCTTTTTCGGATTCTGGCAGTTTGTTCCATTTGTTATCAACGATTTTTGAAATTTGACGATTGTCTATATTTGGATTAATTATTTGATCTTTTATTTTATTTCGAAATAATAAAAAGGCGTTTGGTGGGCGTTTAATGGGATTAAAGATCAATGCTGGAACACGTATCTTTAACTCTGGAAATTCCTTAATTGTTTTCAATTTTTTCATAGCATCTGCATGAATAAGAATTGGTGAGTAGCCTTGTGGGATAAAAACTGATATTTCATTATTACGTTCAATATGTGAAGAAACACCAAATTCTTCAATCGAAACGAAAAGATTAGAATTCATTTTTATTCTT